CGGAATCGTTTGTAAACGACTTAGGTACCTGGCGGGGTGTTGTACTCGGCAGAGCAGTTACCACGCTGCGATCCGTTGAGACTCAGCCCTTGGCTTGGGGATTCGTCATGTTGGCTTGACGTCACCCCACGCTATTAGAGCATAAGCCTTAAGCCGTCGCATTGCACCATGCCACAATCAGTAGGCTTGACAGTCGAAAACTTGTACATGCTGTACATGTGACACTTCTTCGGTATCTACCTAGCTATTTTGTACAACGTGCGTGAGTCAGCACGTAAATCAAAACTTATCGACAAATTCCAATACTAGAAATATTCATTATTTCTTTCAATAACCATAATGTCAAGAGAATAGTTATAAATATTTTGTAAGTTTACGAAATATATGTTTTTAAGAGAAACTTTTCATAATTTTTTAATATAAATATATGATATAATTCATTAAATTCTAAATAGGGAGAATGTTTTTTGCTAAATTTCTTGGAAATGCGTACAAGTTGCTAATAAGCAAAGTACGTATAAGTTATCTATAATGCAAAATGCGTGCAAGTTGTCAATGTGTAAAATACGTGCAAGTTGTCAATTTGCAGAATGCGTGCAAGTTGTCAATTTGCAGAATACGTGTAAGTTGTCAATGTGCAAAATACGTGCAAGTTGCTATTTTTATTTAATTTTTGTAATATACTCTAAATAATTAGTAACTTCCAACCTATAAATATTTCGATTCTTTTATAATAAAATATTCAGTATATTTATTTCCTTTTTAACAAAATATTCAGTATTTATATATAATTTCAAACTACATCTAGTAAACTTCTAGGGGACATTTGCGAGTAAGCCTAACCTAGAATCATGCATCGAAACAGGTTAAAAACATTTTCCGGCTTTTTGAAATCAGTAACTTACGGGTACATCAGACTACATCAAGTAAACTGTTAGGGGACATTTGCGAGTAAGCCTAACCTAGAATCATGCATCGAAACAGGTTAAAAACATTTTCCGGCTTTTTGAAATCAGTAACTTACGGGTACATCAGACTACATCAAGTAAACTGTTAGGGGACATTTGCGAGTAAGCCTAACCTAGAATCATGCATCGAAACAGGTTAAAAACATTTTCCGGCTTTTTGAAATCAGTAACTTACGGGTACATCAGACTACATCAAGTAAACTGTTAGGGGACATTTGCGAGTAAGCCTAACCTAGAATCATGCATCGAAACAGGTTAAAAACATTTTCCGGCTTTTTGAAATCAGTAACTTACGGGTACATCAGACTACATCAAGTAAACTGTTAGGGGAATTTGCGAGTAAGCCTAACCTAGAATCATGCATCGAAACAGGTCAAACTACTTTTGAAGAAAAATATTGTTTTTGGGTTTTTTAGGAATGACATATATTTATTCTATTATTTATTTACATGACATGGTTTAAATACAACATTTTTATTTCTTTAAGTTACATTTTTATTTAAAATAAAATTTCTTACATTTAGCTAATACAATTTAAATAAATTAATATCTGAAATCTTGCTTGCTTTCCAGTCGAGGATGCTTTTCACGAGATAGTAGTGTCGCTGTCATAACACCTTCGCGATTTTGCTCTAATACGCGTTTTGATACATTAGCCAGTAATTGAACATGTCTCTCAGTTCCCTGAATGTGGACCGGAATTTTAGGGTCACTCCATGGACACTCATTGCTTTGTAGATATTGTACTAGATGTTCATGAGGAATATTTAGCGTAAAGGCTGGTTCGGATATATTTGAATAATCATCCATATCTATCATATTAGTATAGTCGGTGCATTCGAAATTTATTTCGGGTGTTTTGTAATCTCTCAATTGCGTCAGGTCTTCCACATTATTACGGTAATATAAGATTTTTCTTATAGCTGAATCTCGTATTTCCTTTTTATTATCAAACAACATTGCTAATAAAATATTTTCTGAGTGAGCATAGTATGCGTTTTCTTTAGCAACATTGTTCACAATTTGTCTCAAATTCGAGTCTAAATATTGCGTCCAGCTAATAAATTTATAAAATAATATACTACCATACACCACAGAGTTGTAATATTTAATGTTAAAGTACATTGGAATATATACTTTCATTACGTAGTTTGCCAGAATTTTCAAATTTTTGGAAGGCTTATTAGTAGTTACATATAACCGAAGTAACCTACTAGCCTTCGTGAGCCAACGGGAATGTGCTATTGGCCCTGGTTTCATGTTAGCTAAGTCTGTCGATACTTCTCCAGAAGCAACTGCTTTAGCTATTTTTATTAAATAACTTGAGTCAGTTGTCGATTCAGCAGGACTTATATCAGCCAAATTTTCAAGTGGGATTGTTTCAAAGTCTTTTACCGGCTGGAAGTATATAGGAAAAAATAAATTATATTGAATTTGAACATAGGGTATTAAAAATAGTAAATATGTTATAACTCACCGGTATATTTTCGCATGTTTCAATTTGTTTGCTTAATATTCCAGTTTTTGTTCGTGGTCCAGTGGTCAATGATTTTTCCAAATAGTTAAATAAATGGCGAAGTGGAAGTTCGTTAAAGTGGAGAAGACACACAAACCAATGCAGTGGCCTGTTTAACTGAATTTCAAATCGACGTAAAATACCATTTTTTACGCCTGTATTTGCTGGTTCACCATCGCAACATATGCCTATCAAAGAATCGAGAGCTATTCCTTTATCGGCGAAAAACTCGTTCAATTTGATTACTTTACTTTCCGAATCTTCATTTTCCAATTTTGTGTAACCCAACAATTGGCCATTCGGTTCCTTTAAAATAACTAAATGCGCTTCTTTAATCATTCGTGGGTGAAACTTCTTATCGATTTTTTCCATGGTAATAGAATCATTTTTTCGGCCGTCGAATGAAAATGCTATTAATTCAGAAGAATCATATCGTTTGTGTAGAGCTTGCCTATTTTTCTGCCTCTCGCGAACGCTTTTATTTTTGTCCATAATGACAGGATTGCCCCAATCATCCGTTATGCCCAGGTCACGCAGGATTGCCGTCACCACGCCAGACCCAACTCTATCAGAAATTGCAAATCTGTCGCACATTAAGGCATAGCTTGGAGCCTTATATCTTCGACTATATGGACCACGTTTTATATGAGAAGTATTTTGTAAACTTTCCGAACTGCTTTTAAAATCAAAATCAACATCTGGAGTATATGTCTCACCTGGAGTAATATTGCTAGTTATTGTAGATTCTGATACTTCATCTTCAATTTTTATAATATATTCTGGTATCGTAGATTTCCTCTCATTATGTTGATCCATCATAAACGCTTGTAAATGTTTTGGGATCAATCCACAAGAACACAGTAATCTTCGCAAATCGCATTTGCATTTTCCAATATAAAATAATTCTTTCGTGGATTCTACAAACTCCTGAAATGATGCTTGGGTAGACTTGCTTTTATTTGTACTTTTATATTTATCAATCAATCGGTTCAATTTTCTAGCGATACTTCGTTTCTCCATAATTGGAATATCAATTTTTTCCCACGTCTGAATCAATTTCGTTACCACATTTGGAGTAAATGTTTTATATGAAAACATTTTATTTTGTTTTTTTGATTCTTCGGCCAAATAAAAATAATACCTGATAATTTCCATACTTGTCGGAAGATTTACACCAGTAAATTCTTTTGCTTCCCCAAATGTAATTTGATCATGCGAGCGCATATGATTCAAATTACTAGCACTTGCGCCTGAATTTAAATAAGAATTCGCCATTGATACTTCACGTCTAACTGGAGAACTGAATGAAGATTTATGCGAATTTTCCACATTAATATATTCTTTTCGAAAGTTCGAGAATTATTATAAAAAAATACTAGCGCACTCTGATGGAAATAAATAACAACAAACTAAACCCGATTTAAAAACCCCCGTACAAACTATTAAAAGAAATATAACTTACAATTGGAATTATTCACATGCCTAAATTAATATATTAACTTATTAAAAACAGTATTTTATTGAAAATTTCGCTGGCTAAAGAGTTATTTGCGATATATGGTTTTGAAGTCAAAATTCATTTAAATAACACATATATTTCATATGAAAAGGTGCCCATATCGCTTAATTTTACTTCTATAATGATTCGGCCCACCCTAATATATATATATATATATATATATATATATGTTGAAGAAGTTAGCTTTGATGTTTTGAAGTTAATCTTTAATTTTTCCAAACGTTTCGACATAGGCTTTTTTGTCATCATCAGTGGATCTACAGAATGAACATTGAAAAATTAATATAAACTAGGAAAAAATGACAGAAATTGGAAAAAGAACTATAGATATAAGTAATATAATTATAACAATAACAATTACAACTAAACAGATAGATAAACAAGAAAAATGAAATGTAAAAAAAAATATATACAAACATACAAAAGCGTAATATATATACATAAATATACACATAAACAAACATATATATATATATATATATATGATATACATGTACAAACACGTACACATATACATATATATATATATATATATATATATATATATATATGGCGCTAGTGAGCCATATATTATTTATTAATTAATTCTTTAAATGAAATCGCAATAATTGGCGCTAGTGAGCCATATATTATTTATTAATTAATTCTTTAAATGAAATCGCAATAATTTGATGTAGACTCAATTTATATCTCAATTAATAAAGTAACTGATATTACATAAAATCTAATATCAATATTGATCCCGACAAAATGTTCGATGAAAAACGCGATATATTTTTAGATCGTTTTTAAAAACGCGAGATCATATTTTTCGATCGTATTTTTAATCCCATGCGCTCGCTATCGCTTGCTTGATATGATGATCGATTTGCGTCAATCAACTGACATGTGTCATGTGGGCTTGTTGATTCCGCTATATCATTGCGTGTTGATTCCGCTATATCACTCCCCTCCAAAAGAAGAAGAAGTATCCATTAGAAATAAATAAATTGAATTATTATAATTTGAAGGAGACTTTTTTCGAATTGGTTTTTCTTGGAGAGACCATAGTTAACTCCAATAGATGTGGTTTGAATTCTTGTAATGTGCTTGGTTGACTGTTATCTGTTTTAACCGTATATGCTGGCTTTAATCTGTCAACCGATATGCTTTTATTAGTTCCATCCATAAAAATGTTGTACACTTTGTATGAAATTCTTTCTATGATTTTATATGGTCCACTATATGGAGGCTCAAGTGGTTTTCGAATATTATCTGCCCTGACAAATACATGCGTGCATGTATTCATGTCCTTGAGTACAAACATATTGGCTTTATTATGATGAGCTGTGGCAGTAGGTTTAATAGCACGCATTATTTTTCTATGACAGTCCAGAAATGCTTGTGGATCAGATGACAGTTCTTTAGATGTGAAAAACTCGTCTGGTAGTCTTAATGTGGTTCCATAAACCATCTCAGCAGGAGATGCTTTAAGGTCTTCTTTGTATGAAGAACGTGTAGTAAGACTACAGGTAATACTTTAATCCAGGGCTCAGGAGAGCACATTAAAGCTGCTTTCAGAGTTCTATGCCAGCGTTCAACCAGACCATTGGACTGAGGGTGATATGCCGTTGTCCGTATTTTCTTAGCACCTATTGCATCCATTAATGATTTGAATATAGCTGATTCAAACTGGCATCCTTGGTCGGATGTTATCACACATGGTGTACCAAATCTTGATATCCAGTTTGAAAATAGGGCTTGGACAATCGTGTCTGCAGAAATGTCCTTTAGAGGAATAGCTTCTGGCCACCTTGTAAATCTGTCGATGATTGTTAGGCAATAAGGATATCCATTAATATTAGGTAATTTAATTATGTCGATGTGAATATGCAAAAACCTGTTTTCAGGAATAGGAATATGGATAGGAGTGAGGTGATTTTGTTTGTGTATTTTGGATTTTTGGCAAGGAATGCATTGACGTGCCCACATGGTGACGTCTTTACCAATCCCAGGCCACACATACCTTCTTCGCAACTTGAAGTAATCCTTATGCTTGGGTGTGCATTTCCATGTACAATGTCAAAAGCAATTCTGCGAAGACTTTGCGGAAGGTAGGGCTTCACAAAATTATCTTGCCTGTTGCAATAAACTGGATAGCCCCCTAATGTCAATTTTTGAAGATTAAGAGAGGTGTTGCCGTTCAATATAGTTTGCATTTCAACGTCCTTGTTCTGTTCTTGCAAAATTTCCTCTGCGGTTAACTTTGATGGCATTGATCCTGGACAACGCATCAGCAACAACGTTCTGATCACCCTTCACATATATAAAATCAGTGGAGAACTGTGATATATATTCTAGCTGCCGTCGCTGACGATCTGAAGCCTTCTTTAATTTCTGTTGAAATGCATGTGTGATTGGCTTGTGGTCTGTCTTGATTACAAAGTGCCTTCCTTCTAGAAGATATTCAAAATACTTTAAAGCCGCAAAGATGGCTAGTAGCTCGCGATCGTAAGTTGAATATCGCTGTTCAGTAGATGTGAGCTTTCTGGAAAAGAAACCTATAGGGTGCCATGCGCCATTTTCTTCCTGCTCCAGAGTTGCTCCAATGTCTGTTGTAGATGCATCTGTAATTAAATTAATATTTGCTATGCTTGAAGGAAAATGAAGAAGAGTTGCATTTGCTAAAGCTTCCTTCAGCTTGCTGAATGCTGATAATAAATTGTCATTCCATTCAATTTGAATCTTGTCGTTTTTAACTGAGGACTTCAAATACTCATAAAGTGGTGCTTGTATATTTGCTGCTTTGGGTATTGATTTACGGTAATAGTTTACCATGCCCATTTCTGAGTTCTATAACTGTCGAAGGTTTTGGATAATTAATAATTTTCTCTACTCGGTCTGGTGAAGGAGAATATCCTGCAGCACTCAGTTTGTAACCGAGGAAGTTTACTTCATCTCTTCCAAAGGCGCATTTCTCTAAGTTGATTATAAGAGAATATTCCTGTACCAATTGAAGATGACGACGGTGTTCATTCATATCAGTCGACATTACCAGGATGTCGTCTATATAAATAAAAACAAAATTGAAATCTTGGAATATGTGATTGATAAACCTCTGGAATGTCTGGGCAGCGTTTTTGAGTCCAAATGGCATACGTAGATACTCGAAGAGTCCCCATGGTGTGATAATTGCAGTCTTTTTAATATCCTCTTCATGCATGTGTACTTGGTGGTAAGCTTTTTCCAAGTCTATTGTAGAAAATACTGCTTTCTGATGAAGACTATTAAAAACATCTTGTATTAAAGGTGCAGATACCTGTCAGGCAGCGTGTTTGCGTTCAGCCTCCTTAGTCTCCACACATTCTGAATGTGCCATTCTTTTTGGGAACTATAGATGTTGGGTCTATATATAATTTATATTTATAATTAAAAGAACTGAATAACGTGTATATAAGTTTAATTTATAATAACAAAACAAGTATAAAGCATCTCACTGATATAAAGTGTATTTAGGTTAGGTTTTATTTTCACTCTTCCAAGCTTGATGCACAAGAGAGTGAGATTGCATTTTTCGCATCCCTCGAGCCCACGCAAGTGTTGCACGATGCGCCGTCGCCAACTTGACAGTTTGCGACGTTCTTCACACGCAACGTGTCTATGAAGTTGGTATTGGCGTTTCTGGTTGTTACTCTCGCCGCTAGGTGTAGGGAGACGCCATATCGTTCCCCCCAAGATGAAGGTTAGCTATCTGTCAGAATAGAAATAAGGTTAAATGTGTGTTGTCAAATATTGAACGCAACTTTCTTTTTGATTGTTTTCTTTGTAGGTTCCTTTGATGACTCCCAGGGATGTCTATGAAGTGGTTGAGAAAGTGATTCGTAATCTGCATCTGTTTTATTTATATATGCTGGTTTTAGCCTTTCAACAGCGAAGTTCTTTGCGGCCCCATTAATGCGAAGTTTGTAAATCCTATCAGAAACTCGCTCAAGTATTTCATAGGGTCCTCTGTAAGGTGGTTCCAAGGGCTTTCGTACATGATCTGCTCTGAGGAATACATGTGTGCATGTGCCCATATCTTTCAAAATGAAAATCTTGGATTTGTTGTGGTGGGCTGTTGGAGTTGGTTTCAATGCACACATGATTCGGCGATGATTCTCTAGAAAGACCTGTGGATTCTGTGAGTTATTAGATGTATTGAAAAAATCACCTGGAAGTCTCAATGTGGTTCCGTAAACCATCTCTGCTGCTGATGTCTTGATGTCTTCTTTGAATGAATTCCGTAGACCAAGTAGTACGTGGTAGTGTCTTGATCCACGGTTCAGAAGAACACATCAGTGCAGCTTTTAGGGTTCTGTGCCAACGTTCTACCAATCCATTTGCTTGAGGGTGGTATGCTGTCGTACGTGCTTTCCTTGCACCAACTGCCTGTGCCAAGGACTTGAAGAGAGATGACTCAAACTGCGTGCCTTGGTCTGATGTTATTGTAGTTGGTGTACCAAATCTGGAAATCCAGCACGTAAACAATGCTTGCGTGACTGTCTCAGCTGTGATGTCTCTCAGTGGGATGGCTTCCGGCCATCTTGTAAATCTGTCAATAATTGTTAAGCAGTAAGGAAAACCATTAGTATTGGGTAAGGAAATTATGTCAATATGAATATGAGAGAATCTTTCATCAGGAATAGGGATGTGCAAAGGATTGAAATGATTATGTTTATGGATCTTGGACTTTTGACAGGATATGCATTGACGAGTCCAAGTAGCAACATCCTTTCCAATTCCAGGCCAAACATACCGGCTGCGTACTTCCCTCGATGTAGTCCTGATGCTTGGATGAGAAATACCATGGACTACGTCGAATGCAGTTTTGCGGAGGCTCTGTAGGAGATAAGGTTTAACAAAGTTTGACTCAATTACACAATAGATCGGAAAACCATCCAATGTTAATTTATGTAATCTAAGAGAAGTTTCTCCACCAAGCAGCTCCTGCATTTCTGGATCCAAGCTTTGCTCTATACATATTTGTTTAGCCGACAGTCTGGTAGGCATTTCAATAGTGTTAATTCTTGATAATGTATCTGCCACTACATTTTCTTCACCTTTCACATACACAATTTCAGTAGAGAACTGGGATATGTATTCCAATTGCCTACGCTGTCTGTCCGACGCCTTTTCAGGTCTCTGCTGAAATGCATATGTGATGGGTTTGTGGTCTGTCTTGATAATGAAATGCCTACCTTCCAGCAGGTATTCAAAATATTTTATGGCCGCAAAGATGCCTAAAAGCTCGCGATCATATGTTGAATACCTCTGTTCCGTGGATGTGAGCTTTCTGGAGTAGAAACCTATAGGGTGCCATGCACCATTTTCTTCCTGCTCCAGAGTGGCTCCAATGGCTGTTGTTGACGCATCTGTTACCAAACATATATTTGTTGCAGCAGCTGGATAATGAAGTAAAGCGGCGTTTGCAAGAGCATTCTTTACATCCTCAAAGGCTTGCAGAGATTCTGGGTTCCAAGTGATAGGGGTTTTATCCTTCTTGACTGAACTATGTAGGTAACTGTTCAGCGGTGCTTGCAGTTTGGCTGCTTTTGGGACTGATTTCCTGTAATAATTCAGCATTCCCAGAAACCTACGCAGTTCCAGAACCGTTGTTGGCTGTGGGAAGTTCAAAATCTTGTCCACCCGGTCTGTAGCTGGAGAATAGCCTTTCTCACTGAGCTTATAACCCAGAAAATCTACTTGGGACTTGCCTAGGACGCATTTGTTGGTGTTGATGGTTAGAGAATGTTCTTGCAAACGCTCAAAAACTATCTGCAGGTGGCGATGGTGTTGCTCCATGTTCTCAGACATAACCAGAATATCATCCACATATATAAACACAAAGTCAATGTCTTGGAATATGTGGTTTATGTAGCGCTGGAATGTCTGAGTGGCATTCTTCAGTCCAAAAGGCATGCAGAGGTACTCATATAATCCCCATGGAGTTATGATGGCAGTCTTCTGTATGTCCTCTTCATGCATCGGCACCTGATGATACGCTTTTGCAAGATCTATTGTTGAAAAAATTGTTTTATTGTGCAGGTTTGTAAAAACATCACTGATTAGTGGAGGAGGATATTTGTCTGGTTGCGTGCTTGAATTAAGTTTTCTATAGTCACCACAGAGTCTATAAGATCCATCCTTTTTTGATACCATATGTATTGGACTTGCCCACGGACTGCTTGAAGGTCTCAAGATGCCCCTGTTCAGGAGATTTTGTATCTCGGCTTTTGCAGCTGATGCTTTTTCGCCAAAAATCTTCCTGAACCGGGCAGCAACTGGTGGACCTGTTGTGGTAATCCTGTGTGCGAAAGGAGATGGTTTAATTGTTAGTCTCTGTGGCGTTCTAGTGATTGTTATATATTTGTTTAGTAAGCTCCTGAAAGGTTGGTGTGGGTTAATTGTGGAAATGTTAATGTTCTGGGTCTTCAGCACTTTGCCATCAGAGGCTAAGCCTGTCGTTGAATCAATTAGTCTTTTGCCTTTCAGGTCTATTAGTAGATTGTAGTAGCTTAGCAAGTCTGCACCGATTATGGCTGTTGCCACGTCTGCTACTGTGAATTGCCAAGTGAAGGGTCTGCGCAGCGAAAGGTCCAGCTCGAGAATCCGCTTTCCATAGGTGGATATTCGGCTGGAATTGGCTGCATACAGAACAATCTCTTCCTTGGCACGACCGGTTGCAAACTTGCTAGCTGGAAGAATCGAGAGAACGGAGCCAGAGTCTATAAGAAAATTTATCCGTGTTTTTCTGTCTGTCACACATAGTCGGAGCTCTGGACAGACAGAATTAATATCACCATCATTACTTGCTCCTGGTGTTGATGGTGACTTTAGTTTTCCGGCTTCAGGAGAGTCTTAACCAAACAGGGTTCTATGCATTTGGTAGCCTTCTCTCCAAACCTGCTATGGTAAAAGCATAGCTGTGATTTGGACGGCGTCTTTGATCTCCC